GTCGGCTTGTAAAAAATATTTAAATATTTAAAAGGATAAGGCACTATTTTTGCTTTCTTTCTGGTATTATGTATGTGGAGTACTGGAGGGGATACAAGGAGGAGTAGACCCCTGGAGGTGAGGAGGAATCCATCCATCCATAACCATTACAGGGAGCAGCACTTTGGAGAGACACCAGGTGGATATTTATTATATTGCAACGTAGAACCTTCTGAGAAGGAGCTCTGGACCAGGAGTAATTTCATCTGTCCTATAAGGACAAAAAGCTATTTTGGCCTAAATATTTATTAGGCTAAAAAGGAGGTGAGCGCATAATAGAGCAAGATTTATCCTATATTCATCCATTTATTGGAGCAAGTCTATTTTAATATATTATTTAAGGAGGACTTTTTACATAATATGGACACCTATTGATGGGATTTTTTCTTTCTTATTATGTTATAGTGTATTGGGGCAATTATATTTATATATTGATTTGGTCATTATAATTAGATTTTTTCACTATTGATGATTTTAAATTGGTATTATAGATACATCACGGATATTAGTCAGAGATAAATGGTCTATGTTTATTTTTTTATGTTTTATCACACCATATTATGAGTAAATTTTATTAATTAGCACGGGAGCGCTGCACTATTGTTTGTAAATTTATATTCATTAGCACTATTTATAAGTTGGTGTAAAGGTGATAGCGAACCATATGTGCATTTATTTTTGATTAATTGATTGATTATCACACCATTGAAATTCACCATATTAGCTCACAAGTAATATTAGCACTTGATTGAAATCACATATACTCAAATTTTCAATGCTGTGTGACGTCCCTTATGCTGCGCCCCATTATATTACAAGTGCAACGTGAAGGAGATACCAGCATTGCTGTAGACAGTTGGTTGAGGTGGGGGATTGCATTGTGGAGGGTAGGGGGATGGAAGGAAGACATGGGGGAGGGCACCAAAATGCATCTTTGCTTGTGTAGACAAAAGTCCTTGCACCAGCCCTGTTTTGAGACCAGGGTAGACACTCTCCCAATGTTGCTCCACCCGCACGCTGCTCTAGTAGCATCCTGTTGGGCAAAAGAGCACTGAATCACAAACAGCATCTTGATTAAAAAGACTGTGCACACCATCAGGCTGCTAGTCTCCAGTAAAATGTTGCCACAGATTGGAGGCTTCATCCCTTCAAAGTCTCTATAAAGACTCTGGACTCCAGAACCCAATCCAGGAGTTACCAATCCTGGAGAAAACTGTAAAACCAGGTTTCTGCACTCAGAAAGCCATCCTGGAGCCCCTCGGCCTGCACCTCTGAGAATGCTGCATGACATATACTCCTTCTGATACCATGGCAAGGCATAGCACTGTCACACTACCCATACCCTATACATGAAGGATGTAGTACAATCCTCATGCATATTGCTAGGCAACTTAACAAAAATAAATATGACCAAAAAAATATGGTTTTATAAATATATATAAATAAACAGCAATTTAATTAACATTATGTGGATGGCATGCTAACAAAAATATATATACACGTATAGGAAAAAACAAAGCAACAATCAAGCATCTGATAGGTTTGAAATGTTAACCATTACATTCACAAGTTTAGGCCAACCATCCCTGCCAGGAAACCTTGTCTACAGGAGACATAAACAATTGAGTACTGTCCGTGATACTTTTTTTATTTGCACTAACATACAATTTTGAGGACAAGCTTTCGGGGTATGTCCCCTTCTTCAAGGTCCGAGCAGTACTATTACAATGTTTTAGCAGAATGTTAGAAATTGGAGCTACAGGAGACATGAAATACTTGGCAATTTTGGGGGCATGGCCACAACGTGAACAGGAAGGACACGTCTGTAGAGAGATCCGCAAATCCTGCTATTATCCCCTAGTGATTAAGGCAGCCTCAGCTCTCCTATCCGTGAGTACGGGAATCATCCTTTTACTTGGTGGTATAACCAAATACCAGTGAGATACATTCTACCACCTCCAGGCCACAGCAATCAGTTGCCCATCCCCACTCAAACAGATCCTGTTATGTCGACCCCTCTAAATGATCCGGTATCCCAGCAGAGCTTGATTTCCGCTGACACTACACAGAGTAGCCATCCTTCAGGCAATTGTAACATGCAAATCCACACTGATGGAACAGATTGACCAGCTTGCAGTGGAATGTAACCTCATCCACAATGATCTTGATAAGTTCCACAGCCAGTTAATGGAGACAGAGAAAAGATAACCGTCATTGAGGACACACCACTGCACATACCACCAGCATTGAACAGATGCAATGCCATATACAGAGACTGTCTAAGCACGTGGAGGATGCGGAAAACTGCCTCAGCAGGAATATCATATGTGGATTGACTTACCTGAAGATGCAGAGGGTCAGCATCCTGAGCTTTTTGCCAATTCATTATTCAAAGATTTGCCACACCTCACAAATGTCTCCACTGCATACATTGTGGAGAAAACCCATCGCGTTCAGATGGGGGGTCACAACCACTGGGAGTAATCCTGTCTGAGGCATTTAAAAAAAATTAAATTTGAAAACATGTCATGCTATTTCCTGACTTCTCAATGGAAATCCAGTGGTGTCGTTGGACCTTCCTGGATGTCTGACAAAGTTTGTAGTTGAAAGGCATTGTGTGTAGTATGTTATACCCAAGTAAACAAAGAGTGGTCTATGAAGGATCCACAAAGTTCTTTGATACGCTTGAGGATGCGTCTTCCTGGCTGATGTGGTAAGCCATGCTGCTGGTTCATTCTGCTTTCTACTGCAGTCTATATGTGTGCAGCTGTCTAAGTCTAAGTACCTAGACCCCGTCCTCCTCTTGGCATCACAAACCCCTTAAAGGGCCAGGAGACAGGGCAAGGTTCAGGGTCCTTTGATTGCCACGATTGGCTTTCACAGCAGTCACATAATCAGAAAGGTCCTGATCGCAAGTAGTGATCGGGACCTTTCCATGAGGCGCCGGTGAGTGCGCACTCTCAGCACATGTTTGTTTAGTTTTGGTACACAAATATGAGGCTGCTCGGCGTCAAGGCCCAGCCACCAAGATGCAGCATATTTGTGTACTGTCAGCACTAACAGGTTAAGCTCAATATTTAGAGGCAGGAAAAAAACTCTTCTGGTTTGTGTTTTTGATTGGGCTTTCTGGCAGAAAAAACACTAAACTCTCCTAAACTCACCTAAACTGTGCACAAAAACGCTCTATATCAGTGTTTTTTTTTCTGCCAAGGGATTCTGATCAAATGGGCTATCTCCTCCAGATATCCACTGATATCAACATAAGAAGGCTTTTCACTAATAATCAGGCTTCTCATGCAAATGTGGATAGTAGGGTGATAGTGGTGTTTGATAAAGAAAAATTGATTCTGTAGCCTCGCATTACATACAAACTTGATAAGGGGGCCATGCCCCTGAAACACATTGCCTTGATAAAGACTTGATACTTGCATTGTCTTGGCAACAGACTACAACACTAAAAGCGGTGATGGCATTCCCCGGTGAATGAGCGCTCATTGTTAACAGCCAATCATTCAGTCTGTATGTGTGCAGCTGTCTAAGTCTCTCTGCATTCTACCTTGTCATCAGACATCCCTTTTGATAGGTTCCGAATGTAAGTGAATCGGACTGTTCAACCTCTTTTTCAAGTATCTATGAGATTCCAGAACTGAGGACTCACTTCCTGTGACAAGTGACTTTCTGATATACTCCTTTCTTTCTTACATCATGTGAATGCAATGCTTTTATTTAAATTTTTAACTTTTATTAAAAGGTTTAACTGCACTAGCGCTTGTGTGCTCCCTGTTTTGTTCTGTTTTTGCTGATCCTATCCCTAGTGGTTTTCAGTGCATTTTCCCCAACCTGACAGGCCCTAGACCATTGGCACCTCACTGGCAGAAGAGGCTTCTTAAATAGGATTTCAGTGGGACTCAATATTGGACTGTGCATAGTGCAATCTATATACAGTATATAACAGTAGGGGCACTGTTCCAGGTTATGGTGTAAAGAGTCAAAAACACTGTCGTTCCTGGAGAGCACAGGATCACTCTGATCCATGCATCACTGAAACATGCGCCAGAACATACTTACACAGAACAGTCTATAGTTTATATTTGCTTTAACTGGCTCCATTGCAAACAAGGCCAAATTATATGTTCATGTAGGCCACATGCTTCATCATCCCCAGAAACAAAGAGGTAAGCTGGTTATTTGGTTCCAGGCCATTGTCTGTCCTCAGGAATATTAAAGAGGTTATTCATTACTCACTGGCCACAATTTGAACTATTAAAGATGAAGAAATCACTATTGCCTTAATAAGACCCCACACTGATGTAGGTAAAGAGGTAAAACAAGTCCACAACTGCAAGCAGGGTCAAAGAAAAATGTTCCTTGTAATGAAAGTAATTACTCTCACTACCTTGTGACATTACTGTTCTAGTGTTCTTGCTATGTATTGCTGCCTAGAAATTTGGAAAATTACATCTTTTCCAAAATAATTCACCAATGTCTGTCCACTTTCCCACTGTAGGAGTTGGCATCTTCAGTTTGTACAATTTTAACCAGCTTGCCTTGCATGTTGGTTGCACTATGCCATAAATGATTTGATTTACCCAAGTGGAACTCATAATGCAGGGATGCATATGAATGACCAGTATCAAAAAATCTGTAAAAACCACAAAAAATTATTTAACCACTAGCCTACAGGGCACTTATACCCCCTTCCTGCCCAGGCCAATTTCCGGCTTTCAGCGCTGTCACACTTTGAATGACAATTGCGTGGTCATGCAACATTGCACCCATATGAAATTTGTATTATTTTTTTGAGACAGATAGAGCTTTCTTTTGGTGGTATTTCATCACCTCTGGGATTTTTATTTTTCCTTAAACAAACCAAAAACCACTGAAAATTTTGAAAAAAAAAAAAAAAGTTTTTTTTTCTTAGTTTTTGTTATACAATTTTGTAAATAAGTGATTTTTCTCCTTCACTGATGTGCACTAATGAGGCTGCAGTTATGGGCACTGATAGGCTGCACTGATGGACACTGATAGGTGGCACTGATGGGCACTGATGAGGAGGCACTGGTAGGTTGCACTGATGGGCATTGACAGGCATCCCTGATGGGCACTGAAAGGCAGCACTGATATGACACTGATACATGACACTGATATATGGCACTCTTAGGCGGCACTGACTGGCACTGATGGGTGACATTGAAAGGCAGCTCAGATGGGCACTGATATGTGGCATTGATGTGCACTGGAATGTGGCATTGATGTGGCACTGATGGGCACTGGCAGGTGGCACTGATAGGCACTGGCACGTGGCATTAATGAGCACTGGCACATGGCACTTCTGGGGCCACACTGATCATCAGGGCACACTGATCATCAGTGCCCTGATGATCAGTGTATATGTCCCCTCCGCGGAAAGCCGATTACTGGCTCGCCTCTCCTCTCCGAGCTGTCAGCATGACAACTCGAGAGGAGAGAAAATGCCGATAACCGGCATTTCCGTGTTTACATGTGATCAGCTGTGATCAGCTGTGATTGGACATGGTCGAGCCAACATCTTTGGCTCTTTCCGTGATCCGCTGTGTCCGTGTGGACACAGCGGACCGGCGATTGCCACGCTGCACGGTCCCTGAGCCGCGCATGTGCAGTGAGAATGGTAGGACGTCATATGACATCCTATCAGAACGAGAGAACCACCTCGCGCCCGTCATTGTACTATAGGGCGATTGGAAGGTGGTTAAACACCCCACTTTTTTCAATATATTTTTGTTTTGCAGTCAAATTATTAGAAACATGCTGAAGACCCATAAAAGGTAATTATGGAAGGGAACTTAAAGAGTTACTAAACCCAAGACCCTGCATTCACTCTATATGGTCTCCCATAGTACACACTACTTGGAAATGCAATTATTTTAGTAAATATAAACTGCTGAATACCTTTTCTCATCAGCAGTTAGAGTGGTCTTGTGACTTCTATCAGTGTTCAGCAGAGCACTGGTTAAAGCTTGTAGGAGTTTTCATTCTGCTCTAGAAGGATGTAGAACCCCTGACCTCTGTCTGGACAGTACTGATTGGCCCTGTGCTGATCACTTGCACTCTCACAAGAAAAAAAAACAACAACCTCTCAATACACACCAAGATGAGCATGTGCAGAGTGTCTCCACACATATGTGTTATCAGGAGATAAGAGGGAGACATTGGAAGAAGGGGAGGATCAGAGAAGTCAGGATCAAGCAGCATTTTTACACAATGCAGTCTTCTTAGGTTCCAGAGTGAGTATATCAAGCATGCTTTACTGCATATATAGACTGATTTTACTGTTGTGGGTTTAGTAACACTTCAGAGCTAAAAAAAAGGAGCAATGGAGTGTCACAGGATCCAAAGAATGCATAACGAAAGACTAGCACAGCGCTACTGAACACGCCAACAACTTATTCTATAGAACATTCCATAGAACGTAAGCAAAAATTGTGTGCATAACCCATATAGAGATATTATATATGCATTCAATAAAATGTGTCCATAACAGTGTACACAATAATAAAGTCCAACATAATAGCAGATTGATAATAGTCTTGTGCACGTAAAAGGGAAAACAACTTCATAATCAATATTGTTTTTGGTGTATTGATAGCAGACCTCCTCCTCATGCAAAGACACCTTAGTGCATTCATCTCTATGGACAAGCAAGCCACTCACTTTCCTTTCAATTCTCAATAGAGGTCAAATGGGCTAATGTCCCTTTAGGTGAAAAATTAAGTAAACTATTGTAGCCTTCTCCAAAATCTTTCAAAGTCATCCAGCACTTGTATGCAGTGCATACAAAACAAGAAAGACTGGCATAGTGCTCACTATTTCTTATTAAATAAATAAAGGGTTAGAAACACTCACATTAAAACAAGCCCTGCAAAGGCATTTACCAGCAGGATCAATTCCCTAGCCTCCCTGGCATTCACTATCTCCCATAGGTATGTGATTAGCAGGTGATGTGATCGGCATTGGAGCCCTGCCCCTTTAGTGACATCACCACGATAATTACATACCTCCCCATATCTCCAACTATCTCTGCTTTCTGATGAGTGGACTTGATTGAACCCACCCATGTCTGGGGAACTGCCTGATCATGAAAGCAGAAGCTCTGTCCCCTTGAAGCTTTATGAAACAGTTTTAAACAGTTTTTACTCTATGGGATGGTGTTTCATCAGCAACATGGGCTCCTTTTCAACAGGAACAGTGGCTTTACACATTCTGAAGCTCAGACAGATAAGACATATCATGTCAAGGTATATAAAAAGTAAAAAAGCAAAATAGCCATGAAAACACCATCCTACGGCTACGTTCACACTAGCGTTGTGTGCAGGCTTACAGCTTCCCAAACTCCTTTGCCAATTCTGCACATTACAGCACATGGTGCTGTTCTAATGGGAACCTTTGCGTTGCGTCGCGGCAAAACGGACGCCTCTGGTCGAGTCAGGAGGTGTTGAAGCCTCCTATTCTAGTCTATAGTGCTGCTCCGCAAATGCCCAGCCGGTTGCGACGCGTTTGCGGGGCGTTTGCGGAGCGGTAACACCATTCAAACTGCATTATAGGCGTTTGTGGGGCGTTTTTAATGCTCGGCAACCGCCGGTAAACCACGCATGCGGTGTTTGTGGAGAGTTTGCCGAGTGTTAAAAAACGCTCCGCAAACGCCGGACCAGCGCTTGCCAAACGCTATAGGGGCGTTTGGCAAGCGTTGGTAAAACAGCCAAGTGTGAACGAGCCCTTACTTGCTTAAACCATAGAAAAAATGCTACTAAAGAAATCCCTCAAACTTCCAAACCTTTAAAAAGAATTCCACCCATCATCAACAATACTTTTAACTCTGGCCTGAAGAAGACCAAATATCTCTTTCCTGTGCCGTTCAATTCGCTCATAAATAGGCTTTGGTTATTACTGGAAAGGGGACTGATTGGTTCACAACCCTATCTGGCACATTCTGCAAACTGACAGATGAAGTATTATTCAAGAAGGATGTGGCATTTACTGGGGAATCCTTAATGTGCTACGGTGCAATTTGCTGTAAAGCCAGCACTGCTTATGGTCACACTTCTGGGCATATCTGTAATAGACAAAAAATAAAGTAAATCCTGCGCCAAAAATATTAAATATATAAACCTCAAGCAATAAATGCTGCTGCTCAAAGATGAAAAGAACACCAAAATACTATAATGAAAACACGGCGCAAATAATTATATTACATAAAAAAGTACACATTGAAAAAAGTCCAAAAGTCTCAAAGAAAGTATTGTGCTCCAATAAAAGAAAACGTGATAGAAAAAGGTATGTATTTTCCAGGGTGCTCAAATCACCCGTGATATCCAATTTCACCCACACTCACCAAATGAAGTGGACTCCTAAGCTGATATGGCTTAAGAATCAAACAGGCTTAGAGGTGAGGCGTAACCTCCACAGGTGTATCTCACTTTGCAAATCTCCACTGGATAACCTCCCAAAACGATCTCCCATAAATCGATGGAAAAGCAAAAAAAAGGAAACACCAATAGTGTAATACTGCATAAAGCTTTCAAAAATCAAAAAATGCCCATAGTTGCACTCACATTGAATAAAAATGTAACCAGCTTAAATGGACATAAAAACTTCTCGGGCAGCTACCAGCGATCCCTTCTTGGAGACCTCCAAATGCTCAGGGACAGTGATCATTTTCCTGAATTGCGACGACCACAGGTCAAGCAAGATGCACAAAATTGGGTAGCAAACCTTGAGGATATCTATAGTTTAACTATACAGGTAGCCATTACATCTTTGGAAAGATGGCTTGATCCATGTGCCAATTGAACGTAGCAGCAGAGCTCTGAGGAGACACCATGAGGTCTCGCAGATCCATAGTCCCTCCTCCACAGTTACATAGTTACATAGTTAGTCTAGCTGAAAAAAGACAAAAGTCCATCCAGTTCAACCATAGAAAAAAAAAAGTTATAATCCTATACCCACAGTTGATCCAGAGGAAGGCAAAAAAACCCTCAGCAAAGCACGATCCAATTTGCTCCTGCTGGGAAAAAAAATCCTTCCTGATCCCCCAAGAGGCAATCGGATATTCCCTGGATCAACTTGACCTATAAATGTTATATCCAGTTATATGCTGTGTATCTAAGAAACAATCCAGGCCTTTTTTAAAGCAATCCACTGAGCTAGCCAGAACCAACTCTTGAGGGAGTCTATATTCCACATTTTCATAGCTCTCACTGTGAAGAAACCTTTCCATGTTTGGAGATTAAATTTCTCATTTCCTCATGTAAAGAGTGCCCCCCTGTCCTCTGTGATGACCTCAGGGTGAATAGCTCTACACGGAGTTCACTATATGAACCACTGATGTATTTATACATGTTGATCATATCCCCCCTTAATCAACTCTTTTTAAGAGAAAATAAATTCAGTTCTTCTAAACTTTCCTCATAGCTGATCTCCTCCATGCCTCTTATCAGTTTAGTTGCCCTTCTCTGTACTTTCTCCAGTTCCCCAATGTTCTTTTTGTGAATTGGTGCCCAAAACTGAACTGCATATTCCAGATGAGGTCTTACTAATGATTTGTACAGGGGTAATATGATATCTCTCTCTCTGGAGTCTATACCTCTTTTAATACAAGAGAGGATTTTACTCGCTTTAGAAACCACAGCTTGGCATTGCATGCCATTATTAAGCTTGTGATCTACCAGAACTCCCAGATCCTTCTCCACCATTGATTCCCCCAGTTGTACCCCCCCCCCAGTATGTATAATGCATGCATATTCTTAGCCCCTAAGTGCATAACCTTACATTTATCAACATTAATCCTCATTTGCCACATAGTTGCCCAATTAAACAGTGCATTGAGGTCGGCTTGTAAGATGAAGACATCCTGTAAGGACGTTATTCCACTGCACAGCTTGGTGTCATCTGCAAAGACTGAAATGGGATTTTTAATCTCAGACCCTATGTCATTTATAAATATATTAAAAAGTAAGGGTGCCAACACTGAACCTGGGGTACACCACTGATGACCCCAGACCATTCAGAGTATAGAATCATTAATCACTACTCTTTGAATACGATCTTTTAGCCAGTTTTCTATCCATTTACATACATATTTTTCCAAGCCCGTAGACTTTATCTTACACATTAGCCATGTGTGGCGCACTGTATCAAACACTTTTGCAAAATCCAAGTATACCACGTCCACCGCCACCCCTCTGTCCAAGGTTTTGCTCACCTCCTCATAAAAAGAAATCAGATTTGTTTGACAACTTCTGTCTTTCAGGAATCCATGCTGTCTGTTGCCTAAAATATTTTTTTCCAGCAAGACCTCATCTATGTGGTCTTTTATTAAACTCTCCAGTATCTTCCCAACTATAGAAGTTAAACTAAC